TTTGTCATCATCAAAAAGGGGGAGATTGTAAGAACAAGATTAGTTCTGACCTATCTCAGAGTTTTGATGATAACAATAAATTATATTTTAGATAATTTATACTCTGATGAATGTATTTGAATGTTTCAGATAATATTCTGACAGAAGCATTCTGAAGTGCTAAGTAAAAATTATGAAGAAGTTCTTTGATGAAAGAACCTTTTTTTTTTGTTTTAAGCGCATCTGCTGACTCTGGTAAGACATTTTATTTAAATATATCTTCTAAATTTAGCAGGTTTTCTTGCTCAGAAGATTACTTGAAAGCAAGTGCTGATCAAAGTTCTTAGCAAGCAAAGCAATTCCTAGAAGATGAAGTAAAGCATGTTCTGAAAACAAGACGTTGAAGCATGTTCTGATACAAATGAACTTGTCTTGTCAAGCATAAGAAACACGTTCTTACAAGTTGTCGTTTTCTCATTAATGCAAAAACGACGTCATGCACTCAAATGCCTAAAGCTAGTTTCTTGAAAAATGGTATAGTGCAAAGAAACACGCAAGCATTTAATGCTCTCCACTTTTCTGAAGGCAGCAACGGTCATTTTGTTCTTACTATAAATATAAGGATGTTTATTGCAAGCCAACTAACGAATCATATTTCAAAAAGAAGCAAGAAACTTCGTGAAAGAAACTGGGCTCACAAACTCTTTGTTCATACACTTTGTGCAATTTATTCTAAGTGAAAAATCACAGTTGTGATATAGCTTGATTATAAGCAAACTTTATTTCACTATCTGTAAAGATTAAACTCTTGTAATTGTTCCTTGAGAGACCAAATTTGGTCAGATTTCTCAAGCAGACTAGGACTAGTTTTAAGTCTTAGTGGTGTTAGTCACTTGTAAGATTACTTGTGCATTGTTAGTCACAACAGTTGTTGTGTGTTTGTAATCAGTTGATTATAGTGGATTAAGTCCCTGTTGAGAAAGGCGAAATCACCTTGGCGGGTGGACTGGAGTAGTTTGAGTTAAAACGAACCAGGATAAAAATAACCTTGTCCTTCCATTATTGTTGAGCTTTGTTTTGAAAAGAAAAGGAGTCACTTATTCAACCCCCCCTTCTAAGTGTTTTCTTACCCCTTCACTAATAATGATGGTGATTATTATGGACCATTTTATACCTATTGCAAGCAGAATGGTATTGCACATGAAAATATTCCTCCTAAAACTCCTCAATTTAGAGAGTAAGGTGTATGCTCTCTGAAGCTAAGTTGCCAAATAATTATTTGGGTGAGGTACTTTACACGACAATGCATGTTCTTAATATCACTCTTATTGTTGCTTTGAACAGTGAAGTTCTAGACAAGATTTGGTTTGGAAACAATGTCAAGTATGATCATTTGAGAGTCTTTGGCTGTAAGGCTTTTATGCATATTCTAAAGAATGAAAGATCCAAGTTGAATGTAAAGTCAAAACAATGTATATTCATCGGCTATGGGAAAGATGAGTTTGGTTTCAGGTTGTATGATCATGTAAGGAAGAAGCTTATCTGAAGCCGCAGTGTAGTATTCATGGAAGACCAAAATATTGAAGACATTGATAAGGTAGAGAAGACAAAACCCAAGAAAGATATCAGTTTGTCTAATGTTGATCTAGTTCAGTTACCTAATCACAATCTAGATGTTATCGGTGATGATTATCATAATGCTGAGTTATATCATTATGTTGATGATCAACAACTTGGAAATGAGGTAAATATTCCAACTAATGATGATGAAGGGGGAGCCATATGTCCCAAGATGAAAATCTTAGTGAAACTCCATAATCATCTCAAGTTCAACTTAGGAGGTCTATCAGGCAGAGACAACCTTCTACAAGGTATAATTCTGATGAGTATATGACATTGACTGATGAGGGTGAACCTGAGTGTTTTCAAGAGGTAATAGAAAGTGATGAAAATCAAAAGTGGTTGTATGCAATGCATGATGAGATGAAATCATTGCATGATAATCACACTTATGATTTAGTGAAGTTGCCTAAAGGTAAAAGGGCCTTGGAAAACACGTGGATTTATAGAGTTAAACATGAGAGAAATTCTAAGTCTCCAAAATATAAATCCAGATTAGTGGTGAAATGTTTCTGTCAAAGAAATGGTATTGATTTTAATGAGATTTTCTCGCTTGTTGTAAAGATGTCATCAATCAGAACCGTGTTGAGTTTAGCTGCTACTCTTGATATAGAGGTTGAGCAAATGGATGTGAAAATAACTTTTCTTCATGGTGATTTGGAGGAAGAGATCTACATGAAACAACCTGATGGTTTTCAAGTTAAAGGAAAAGAAAATCAAGTTTGTAGATTCAGAAAGAGTCTATATGGGTTGAAGCAGGCTCCAAGGCAATGGTACAAGAAGTTTGAGTCTGTTATGTTTGATCAAGGATACCAGAAGACTACTTCAGATCATTAGGTATTTGTCAGAAAAGTTTCTAATGATGACCTTATTATCTTGTTGATAATATGCTTATTATATAGAAAAATACTTCTAACATTAACAAGTTAAAGAAGCAGTTGGGAGAGTCATTTACCATGAAACACACGAGAGTAGCTAAATAGATTTCTGACATTAGAATTATGCGTGATACAAAAGATAAGAAACTTTGGATGTCACAAGAATATTATATCGAAAGAGTACTACAAAGATTCCAAATGAAAATTTCTAAGGCGGTAAGCACTCCTCTTGCTACTCATTTCAAGTTGAGTTTTAATCAAAATTCTTCAAGTGAAGATGAAGCATTTGATATGAAACGTCTTCCTTATGCTTCTTTTGTGGGTAGTTTGATGTATGCAATGGTACGTACAAGACCAGATGTAACACATGTTGTTGGTATAGTCAGTAGATTTTTGTCAAATCCAGGTAGACAGCATTGGAATGTTGTAAAATGAGTTTTAAGATATCTTCGCGGTACTACTTCTATGAGGCTTTACTTTGGAGGAGATAAGTCTACTCTAGTAGGATACTCTGACTCTGATATGGCTGGAGGTATGTATTCCAGAAAGTTCACTTCGAGCTACATGATTAAATTCGCAGGGGGAATTGTGGCTTGGTAATCCAGGTTACAAAAGTGTGTAACATTGTCGACTATAAAGGGTTTAGTTTATTGCCATTACGGAAGCATGCAAAGAGTTTCTTTGGTTGAAGAAATTTTTGCAGAAGTTTGGTTTTGTTCAAGACAAATATGTGTTATTTGTTGATAGTCAAAGCACTATTCATCTTTGTAAGAATCTGACTTTTTATAATAGGTCCAAACACATTGATGTGAGATATCATTGAATACGTGATGTTTTGGATGCTAAGTTGTTGGAGTTAGCTAAAGTTCATACAGATAATAATGATTCTGATATGATGACTAAAGCATTACCGAGAGGGAAGTTTGAAGCTTGTTGTGATATCGCTGGTTTGGCGATTTCTTCCATATAGTTGTGAGGGGGAGATTTGTTGGGCTCGGGCTCCCTTCCTATGTGGAAAAAGACTCAAATATGAATAGCCCATTTATCTCACTTATATAAGTGGAGAGTATCAATTTATGGTTGAGAGAGAGAGGGGGAGAGAGAGAGAGAGAGAGAGAGAGAGAGAGAATAAGGATTCAAAAATATAGAAAAAATGAGAGAAACTCATCCCGTTTTTCTGCATCAGTCTCACTAAAATGACGATACTCAATTCGTTCACAATCGGATCGAGCTGAAATTTAGTGGGCTTGTTCGCAATACATATATCTAACTTTTGACAGTTGGAATCTTCAAAACAAAGTCTGAGTTGAGAGATATCGGCTTCGCACTGAAGCTGCAGATTTGAGAAAATTTTCAACTTTTTTATTCTTATTTGTAAGTTAGTTTGCTTTGTGATTTGCGGTTGTTATTACTATTTTGTGAATCACTTTAATACTCTCTTGTATCCTCAATTGATTATAGTGGAGTTTTTTTCTTTGGTTTGAACGACTCGTGGTTTTTATTCTCAAGTTGAGAGATTTTCTACGTTAAAAACATCGGTGTTCTTTTATACATTTATTGTTCGGTTGTTGTCTTATTTTTGTTGTTGATCCTCAAGATTCTTACAAATATAGAAAATTATATATCTATTGCATATTATTCTGTTATTTTATCTTAATTTTCCATCGCATAGAAACTTTATTGACGACTCGTGACACTTAAGCACTTTACTTGCAATGTGTACTGCGACGATCCGGCTACTGGCTAATGGCAGTGATTGTTACTCCAATTTGTTATTTATGAATTTAGATAGTTGTAATACTTAATAAAATATTGTAACCCTTAATGAGAACAATTATAATACTTGATGAAATAGTGCATTTTATTAAGGGTTACAACATTGTGAAACTACCTCATTTAATTTATTAATTAATAGACTTTTTCAAATTAAAAAAAATATACAATTTTAAACTTCCACGTAAAAATATATTTTTTTGCTTAATTCTCCTCTTCATTGTTTAATTCTATATTTCTTCCTTTCTTATATTAGAACTTTTACCTATCTTATTTAAACTTAAAATAGACTAAATTTCTTGAATATTGCGGCATGTAGACTCTAAGACAATTTAAAAAATGTTTGAAATACTATTGTGACCGTGTTTATATGACAATTCTATGCTTGATTACTTCTAAAATCAATTTCTAAAAAAAAGCACGTTGAAAAATAAATAGCGCATGTGAATTTGGCTTTGAAAGGCTTATTGAAATTGAAAAGAAAAAAAAAAATCAACACATAATATTCAAAGAGACGAAAAAGTAAAAGGTTGTATTGAAAAACCATTGGTTTCACACCAAATTTGCACAAACCTTTTTACACAACATCCATATTATTCATATGTTCTAGAAATTTACAAATAACAATCCCAAATAATTAAAAAAAAAACACAAAATTGAAACCGAGACAAGCAATTACTAAAGGATAAAAAAACAAATAGTATGAAACATGATGAAGCACTAACTTACATAGAGGTTGAAGAATTAGCATCATCTTTTTTTCCTTGATTTGGGTTTATTTGATTCCCGAAAGAAACCACATAAACCACAGGTTGCTACCTTCGGAGAAGGAGGGTCCTTTGATGGTGGTGAAACGTTGACCGTCCGATATGGTCTTCCTCCATCTGATCTACTTCTATCCAACGTGGCACTTGATCCAACGGTGTTACTCTCATCTTGTTGTTGTTGTTGGTTTTGATTCAGACCAGACAGGAACTTGTCATCCCAAACCAATCCTGATGAGCCTTGTCTCCTGAATGATGCTAATGATTTCTGTAACTCAGCCATCTTTCTCTCTTTCTCTCTCTCTCTCTGAAAATTCTAAACCTCACCTAGTTGTTAATGATGATGTTAGACTTTATGTTAGTATTAGAGATATGATGAGGATAGAGAAAATGACAAATTAAAATATAGTAATAAAGACGAAAATCACTAGGGGAATCTAAAAGCTTGGTTTGGTAATTACTTTATTTTTAATTTTAATTGAACTACTATATTGTATTTAAAATACACTAAAAGACTCATTCAAAAAAAAAAGAAAACACTAAAAGATATATATATAAAATGGAGTGTGACTAAAATCCACACATGATGTCATTAAGTAGGGACAAATTAATAATTTTTCTTTCCTAATTTTTCGATTCTTATCTTTTCTAGTAATGGTAAAAATAAATCTCATAAAAACAATTAATCAAAAAACAAGATAAAAATCTCATAGTTGACGGATTAATTAACTAGTAATAAGAATTAGGACTATATGGTAATTCCTTGTTATGCCAAATACCTAACCTTTGAAAGTGATTTTCCTTTTAATGGTAATTTTAATTCATTGTTAGATTTGCTGCTAAAATAACGATGATATTGTAATTGTCAGAATAAAAATGTTTAATTTTTATCTTACCAACTCCCTTTTATTTTACTTTTTTTAATTTTTAAAAAACAGATTTTTTCTTTTGTATTTTTGAAAATAAATTTTACAAAATTATCTTTTAAGATATTAATTTTTTTATATTTATTTTTTTAAAATTAAAACCCCTACTTTGACATCTTATAACATAAAGAAACATTATTTAAAATTAATATATAGTTAAAATCATAATTTTTTCAAAAAAATTATATTTTAAAAATAATTTTTGTGAAAATCTATTTGAAATAGCTTCAATTATAAGTGATTTTTTTAAATATTGATATTCAAAAAAAAAATTTAATAAAAAGATAAAATATATAAAATAGTATTTTAAGAATAACTATTCAAACTAAATTTTTATTTAAAATTTTTATAAAGAATTTCAAATTTTTTTTGGAATAATCATGTATTAAAAAAAATTCGCAAATAACCATATTTCAGAATACTCCCCAAAGGAGGAATCATCTCACTTGGCGCCTCCACTCAGCATTTTGCCCTAGGCGCCATCCCACTTGGCGCCTCCTCTCTCTTTTAGCCAAGTGAGATGGCGCGTGCACTTTAAAAGTGAGAGGAGGCGCCATCTCACTTGGCTCCTAGGGCAAAATGCTGTTTTTATAAATAATTCATCCGTTTCTCCGTCATTTCTCACACTTTCTCGCACAGTTTTCTTATTTTTTACTCTGTTATTTGCGTCATGACATCGCCCATGATTTTTACCAGAGATGGTTACGTAATCTTCTCTGCCACAAAACCTCCGATGAAAATGAAATTCTGACACATTCACTCCATGGAGCGTCTGAAGCGGGAGTTGATGCGATGGCTAGATAGAGACATCGTGGAGAGGGGAAAATTAGAAGGATCCAGCGAAGACGAACAACAACCTCACTTGCGACAGGAAGACCTAATGTTTGGTTGGAGGAAGTCAAAACAGACAGCGATATAATGTTGATGATGCATGGGTCAGATGAAATTGTTTTAACGGTTGTAATTTCGTAGACGGTTTATCGTGTTTTTTTTCTTGTTCATGCAATGTTTATTGTAACAAATACTGTTAACGAAAAACCCTAATGTTTACAACATAATAAAGGAATGATTTTTTGTAATAAAATTTTTATGTGGTTGAGGCAGTAGCCCGATTCAGACAATTTTTGCGATTATGTCCGACCTGACGACATAAACTACACTTTCTTTCCAGCTTGTCAAGGGAGTCCATTTCGGTTGTGATGCGCTTACTTTTGGGACGACCCTTTTTATTCCTTCGCATTTGGTCATTGTGCCATACTATTTTTCCGTCGTATGCAGGCCAATAATCTGGTTTTGCTACCAAAGGGAAGCTGTTGTTATAAACGTTGAGCAAGGTTTCAGATTTGTAAATGTGTGACAGAAGTTGTAGCGCGTCTTGATGAGTATAGACACACGCGGCAATGACATGAGAGAAAGTCGTACGAAAGGCTTGAAACTTGCCACAATCGCACCAACGAGAAGGTAGTACAACCCTATATTCTTGTCTTGGCAGACCCTCGTTGTGGTCGATTGTCTCTTTGACAATGAAGTTGTGGTTGTGTCGGTCAAACTGTATAACCATATAGGTGTTGGCTTTGGCACTTTCTGCCTTAATGTACTTCATGCAGCTTTCACTCCATAGTTGTCCAGATTGCAACACCGCATTCCACATTTCACCTCTTTTAACAAACAACGAAGTCATCCTAAAATATGTTGATTTAACCAAAGTAGTGACCGGGAGGTTTCATATGCCTTTGAATACCCCATTCATCGATTCAATTAGATTTGTTGTCATGTGGCCCCATCTTTGTCCATTGTCGTATGACCTAGTCCATTTTTCTACCGGAATATTTTCGATCCACCTATCGGCTTCCGGATTTGACAAACGGATCTCATTGCGATAATATTTGAACGTAGGTTGTGTCAATGCATATCCCGCATTCATAACCGCTTTCCTAAGTGTTTTGTCTTTGATCTCCCTCGTGAAATTTTGGACGATATGTCTAACGCAATAGACATGCGTAGAAGGAGGGTCATGCCAACCGTTTGCAGGATTATTGTATGCACTTTCAATGGATGCATGTCTATCCGAGATCAAACAGAGGTCTGGTTGAGGAGCCACGTGTGCTCGCAGATTTTTGAGAAAAAAGCTCCAAGCACCACCAGTCTCCCCCTCGACTAGGGCAAAGGCAATTGAGAAAATGTTGTTGTTGCCATCTTGTGCAACTGCCATCAGTAGCGTGCCTTTGTATTTCCCATACAACCAAGTCCCATCAATTTGTATAATTGGTTTGCATGGCGCAAACCCTGTGATGCAAGGTTGAAAAGCCCAAAACACTCGACTGAATATTCCATTTCCGTTGAGTTGACTACCATCCGGGGCGTATGCTGACACTATTTCCAGAATGTAAACAGTACCCGGGGAATAAGTCTGGAGTGCATTCAGGTAGCGAGGAAGTTCTTGGTATGACTCCTCCCAGTTTCCATATACCTTTTCAATCACCTTGGTCTTTGCTAACCACGTCTTTCGGTAAGACGAAGTATAGTTAAATATCGTAGTGATGTGGGAGATTATGGTTTTCACCTTCAATGATGGATCGTTGCTGACGAGTGGTAGGATTTCTTGACAAATGAGATCATAATTAAGTTTTCGATGATCCTGTGATTGAGTAGAACTGACACAAGTGTGGGTAGACATGGAACCTATGACCCAACAATCACCTCTTAATCTGTATGATGCAGTGAGCTTGAACATACAATCAGGGTGGACACACTTGATCTTATACCTTTCTGGATTTACACAGTCCACCTTAAAATCGACCGAGTTGAGCATGTGGAATTTTTTTATGGTTATGATACATTCTTCTCTGTTACGAAATTTGTCTCTCTTTTAAGTTTTCATCCGATTGCATATACAGATTGAAAAATAAATCAGAAGACAGTTCATCTCCGCCCATGTTGAAGTTTGTCATGTGCGGAGGTGGTGTATAGATCTCGTTTGCAGGAATACCAGGTATCCCATCGTCTTCGGAATCATCATTGACCATTTCGGCAAACTCCAACTCGTCATCTTCTTCTTCTTCATCAACTGCATCTACTTCTGCTTGTTCGGTGTCCAAAGGATCAACCACTTGTGACAGTTGAGGCTCTCGCCGCATAATGTATAACTCAATAGAGTCGTACCCAGAATACTCATGAATGGAAAACATATTCTGAAGATCCTCGTCATCTTGAACCTCAACCTTATAAAATATTATTTGGTTGTTACAAAAAAAAACCGGATTCTGATAAAATATTTGTGTCATGGGGCCTCGTCCAAGTTTGGCCTCCAATCGTTTTTTGAAGTACAAGAAATTGGCTTTCCTGTTTAAACAAAATCGGATGTTCTCTGTGTCTCTAAACAAAAACCCAGAGGTGGGACAAATGTATGTCTCACCGTTGAAATGTGCACTGATCACATATTGGGGTGCAGAGGCCATTGTGTATGATTGTTTGAAGGTTTGAAGGTTGGAAGGTTTGAAGTTTATGAGTTATTTGCTGGAATTTTTTAATGTTCTAGTGTTTGAGAGATTAAGTGTATCAGTGTTTTGATAAATGTAAGACTAAATAGGTCATACTGAATTTTAATTAACCAAGGCTGTCCAATAGTATTACATGCATTCAGAGATGCCTTCTCCAAGGCTGCCACGTAGCCTGCGCCTACACTGCACCTACACTGTAACCTTTAAGGCGTCTCCCATCATGTCCAATAGTGTTACATGCATTGAGAGATGCCTTCTCCAAGGCTGTCACCTAGCCTGCGCCTACTCTGCAACCCATGCCACCTCTTATTCGCCAACGGGGATGGCGACACCTTTCATTTTTGTACTCTTTCGCCAAGTCCAATGGCGCCTCCCTTCATGTCCAATCGTGTTACATGCATGCCAGAGATGCCTTCTCCAAGGCCGCCACGTAGCCTGCACTTACACTACAAGAGTGACACTTATCATGCATGCATGCACCCACCTACCACCTCACTTACTCTATGAAATTTTTTTGCCTATAAATACAAAGCATTAAATACTTCTCTCGCATCCACAATCGTCTCACTCTCTGCTACAAACTCTTTCATAATCTCTTACAATTTCAAACTCTTTCATAATCTCAGGCATTTTCAACAATGGCTCTTCTCACAATGAGCGATTTTCAGAGGCACAAGGGACAATATTGCAGCATTTGTAAGTTTCTTTTATAGTTATACATTTTTTATACTTCTAGTAATGCTTTGTTCATCTTACTTACTCTTACACCTTTTACATTATTAACTTAGGATAACAAAAGATTTAGAATCCGGTCACACAACTACCTTGCTCCCGACCCATTGATCGTACCATATCTG